CTGTGCTATGACGTTTTAAAGATTAATTTGCAACAGGTTTTAATTACAGTATTTATTTGGATAGCAGCAAATGGGTTGCTTGTTTTAACTTTTTACTAATTTTTACTAAGAAAACACACATTGCATTAATTTTTTTATAGACATTTTCACATTGAAATCTTGGGTTGGCAGATTCATAAACCAAGTGTAAAAATCTCTGGTTGATCACGTGTGCCAGTAATGAGTGAGTCTGTATGAGGCAGACCAGTAGTCATCACTAATACACTGAGTGAGCTTTATGTGAGACAAAGATTCAGAGTGATGCAGAACACGGAGGCATACCTTGGAGAATACATGCATGACAGGGGAGTGAGTGAGTGAGTGAATATTGCTTAACGCCGCATCAGCAATTTTGCAGCTATTCGCGGCGAGAAATGTCTCTTGTGTAATCAGATATCAACCAAGAGAATAAAAGTGATGTTGAAAATCACTAAAATCTCAGTCATGTATCACATTCAGAGGTAAAAGACTGACTGTTGCATGACAGGGGATCACAATTGAGGCAGATCTAGGAATTCTGGCTTGTTAGACCACCATGCCCATTAATACAGAGAAGCTATCATGTGATTGACAGCATCTACGAAAAACAAATTCAACAGCAACAAAGAGAAGTTTTAACAAAGGTTTATTGTTCTCCATGTATAACTTAAAATGTTTCTAAAAACACCAGCCTATACGTAATGATCAGGCTGAACAGACGGATGGCTCTGTTCAGTGTTAGCGTCCACACATGGAACCTGTTAGTAACACATGATTCATGCAAATATGACTGCATCTTCACCAGGAACAAATTCCTCTTTCAAACATGATACAGCTTTTTGGCAAAACATAATAGAGACCAAATCATACATTTTAGAATTGGTGTATGTACCACCCCACCCCACCCCACCACCATCCCTTGTTTAATGGATGACCTGCCAGAGACTGATTTTGTAACATAAATCAATACTATTCAAACTATTCTAATTACTTGTTTATAATTACTTGTTTATAAGGCCACCCATTTTTATTTTTTGTTTCCCAGGCCCCCTGTCCCTACTGAAAAGTAGCTGGAAAAGAAATAAATTAAACATAAAAATATTAATTTTTATTATGTCTCCCACTAGTAATATAGACCCTCCTATACAATATATAATGTTCAATATAAATTCCATGTCTACATCACTGTCGGTGATTCAAGAAGCCAGCTGCATGTGTAACCTCACGGCAGTATGACTTTCATATAAATAAATATATGTTGGAGATAGCTACTTAATTTTTATATTTTTTCGTCTGACCTTGTTTGGAAAAGTTGGAATAAATCCGTGAAACATAAATTTAAAAAGTGTGGCCTTATATCATTCTGAGTGTAATTCACTTTGTCTATGTTTGACCTAAAATTAACCATGATAAAATTTTGAAACTTTTTCTGAATTTGCTTCCTTTGATTATAAACCAAAACAAGGACATATTTAATATGTACACTCAGATCAAACACCTAACCATATGCTTGTCATTAATTCCATGAAGCCCCCATTTTATTAAGATGAAAATCACTCAAAATATACTGACAGCAAAGTGTTTTTGTTTTTGTCACGACTCCTAACATGTCTGAGCCATCCATTATTGTCAGCTATTCCAGGCCTCCTATATTTTAGCTGTCATTTGTAAACGACAATCTGAGCACACAGGAAGGGGTGTAAACCTTTCCCATAGATCAATGTAAACTGGGGCTTAGTATTGTTTAGCAATAAAAAATGTGCAATTTTCAGATGAATAAGAACACAAAAGTACATTCGAAATATTTAAAATCGGGTTAAAACATTAATAAGCAGAACTGACCAACTAAATATACTGTTAAATGTCTCGAGAAATGACTCATTGATTCTTAAACTGATTTATCAAAATTACAATATTGGAAAGAGGTGATGAGGGTTACAAATTAAGACTGACTGAGTATTGTTTTACGCTGCTTTTAGCAATATTTCCAGCAATATCACAGCGTGGGACACCAGAAATGAGCTTCACACATTGTACCCATGTCGGGAATCAAACCCCGGTCTTCAGCATGACAAGTGAATGCTTTGGCCAGTAGGCTACCCCACCGCCCCTACAAATTTAGAAGTATTCACAAGCTGATCATAATTATTATAAAGAACCTATTCCATTCTGAAACTTCAAAGTCATATCACTTGAAGACATGTTAACATTCATGTCCATATTTTTTTAATAATTATTCTAAAATGGATACATCATAAAATAACACGCAAACACACACACACACAGTTACTGGTGAACAACTCGATCAAGGGCGATATTGCACTGTTGATATTTAAGTTATTCATAGTGAGCTGACTGATGGAAGGGTGAGTGAGTGAGTGACATGGGTTTAACACTGCTTTGGTACTGACAAACCAAGAATCATAATAGGCGCAAAACTGGGATTTAAACCAAAGATGACATACCTGGCACACACTTCTAAGGGAAGTAACTCTAACGATGGCTGTGCCAGCCATGCCCCCTACAGAAGTATGATGTGAAAAGGGCATAGCTTCCCAGTATCGGCAATCCACTCTAACCTGTTACCATGTGGCTTGTATAATTTCACAGGGTTGAGTTTAGAAGGCCACTTTCCCTGCATGATAGTTAATTCACACAGAAAACTTAATTTTACTGCCTTTTTGGCAAATAATATGCCTACAGCTTTGAAATGCTGTTTAATGTGACTTACACGATACAATTTTGTGTGTCAACCAGATCACAAAACATGTTATCTACTGCCACTAAAGTCAGGCCTAGTTTGGAAGATATTTTTTCAGTTAATAAAAGCTTTTATTCAATCTTCTACCACTCCTTCCTGACAATAATAAGTGACTGCTTGATGATTTGTCTCCAGTTGCACTACAAGTTACAACCATAACGAACCATTGAGCCAAGCTACTGGTGGACGGTAAGTGTCTGTAATACTAACATGATGCCATCAAACAAATACATTTATCAACAGTATTAATACATTGAGTTCTGACGCCTAAAAAACAATCTCACATCTAATAAGTGAAAGGGTGAATATGGCCCTACACAAGGCTGCAATGCTTGCTTGTTCTCCAACATGGAGGTCCTTAGTTTCTTTGCTGTAGCATAAATAATGTGTGTTTGTAGCAGAACACCTCACTCAGCATAATTCCACCTCTATGACGGCGGCCTATAAATAATGAGTTTGGACCAGACAATCTTGTGATTGATATTACGAGTAACGATCTACACACTCTGGGTACATTGATATGCCATCAACAAAGCCACCGAGTTGGACCACCCCATCAATTAAGTAGCGAAGTACAGGTTGCTGGGGACCTATTCTAACCCATAATCCCGATCAGTCAGTGTTTAGAGTTATCTCCCTTGCCATGTTAATTTACAAAAAACAGCACATGAATTAACAAGTAACCAATGCTTTTCAGCCTTATTGCTTAACGAGGGTGGCATGCCAAGGAACTTGTGTTGTTTGTTTGTTGTTTAATGCCGCACTCAGCAATATTCCAGCTATATGGTGGCGGTCTGTAAATATTCAAATCTGGACCAGACAATCCATTGATCAACATCATGCTCATCGATCAACGCAATTTGGATAGGATGATATGCATCAACCAAGTCAGCGCGTCTGATCACCCAATCCCGTTAGTCGCCTCTTATGACAAGAATAGTCGCCTTAAGGGCAAGGATGGGTTGCTGAAGACCTATTTTACCCCGAATGTTGACGGGTTGTTTCTGAACTGACAGGTTTTCACAGTACATACATACAGTGTGCTAATGGATGACAGGTTCAGATTTATTGCAACAGTACTTTATCAAAGGACCAACTATTTACTTGTAACATTAAGGTTATAACAAGGATCTCTTGACTTCTTTCTAAAACTAGGCAAACTGTAGACACATAGAATATAGATGTATAATTCTGGACTTCCTAATGCCACAGGAAAATTTTTCTGATGTGATTGAAAAGAGAAATCAAGAATAAAACCAAACAGTTCTCTCTCGGAGTCTTGCTGGGATTCAAATGAGCTCAATTTCCATGTCATTCACTGATTGTCAACCAAAATGTCCTAAACATAAACAATTGGTCATGAAACAGAAGGATGCCCTATCTAAAGCTGAAGAAAGCATTTGTATTCAGCAAAATCCCTGTGTGATTTCTTGCAAACATCAACTTCACATCACTGAAGGTGATGAACAGACCATTCTTTGTAACATTACTTGCATACATACATTCGGCTAATCTATGCTGTGGTTTTGGTAACACAAATGACAAAAGGTCATTTTTATCAACTATTGATGGGACATTCTTCAATATCATGACCATATTTGAAAAACATCTTTTGGCCATTTTTGACAACAGTTGATGTCCTTGAAAATGAACTGCTCTGAAACCCTGCAATGGGATGATTAACCATACAATGAAGCACATTGAGGTGACTCACTTCATACAGTTGAGCAAAAGTTAATCCAATAAACACACATCAAACATGTTAAACACAAATACATTCGACTCAATCGGCTGTGATTCTATCTGACATCCAATACATATAACACATTATAAAAACCCCAAAAGTAACACCTGTTCAAGATATGGACAAAACATGTAGATGTGATTGAGTGTCAACATTTCAATACCAGTTGTACAAAGAATTTGCATCACATTGGAATGCAATGCTATCATCAAATAATGGATGACGTCACACTTCCGCAACAAACTGTCACCATGTTAGCAAAATGTTAAATGCCATTTCCTTAATAAAAGAGTGAGTGAGTGAGTTAGGCTTAACGCCGCTTTTAACGGTATTACAGTTATATCACAGCGTGTCAGCTTAATGTGGGAGGAAAGCCCGAAGTGATGCAGGTCTCAGATGTTTACCACTTCGGTGAAACCCACAAGCACGGGTATGTTGCTGACAAACCTAGAAACATAATCGGGGCGAACCGGGTTTCGAACCCACAATCATAGGTTTGTGGCGTGCCCAAGGGAGGCAACTCTGCACAGCGAATCGCGGCGCCTTAGACGACTGGGCCACCCATGCCCCCCTAAATAAAAGCATAACGTTGACTTGCTGCACATACTATTTTCTGTTATATACTGATGGAAATGAATAAGGGAACAAGAAACAATTAAGGCCAATAAGCTTTACTGTCAGTACAGAAAGCACACATTCACCACGTCAGAATCAAATGTTGAGATGTGTCTGTGTGCGTATTTGGTAGACAAGGCTGGGAACCCATGATGGCATATCATGTTACAGTGTCTGTGACAGAGTGTTCCCTTATTCCATGTCAGCTTGAAGACACCCTTGCTTTGAGTGAGTGAGTATGGTTTTTGCCCCTTTTAGCAATATTCCAGCAATATTACGGCAGGGGACACCAGAAATGGGCTTCACACATTGTACCAATGTGGGGAATCGAACCCGGGTCTTCGGCGTGAAGAGCGAACACTTTTACCACTAGGCTACCTGACCTCAGAATGTTGGTGCATCGAGATACGCTCTGCCACAGTAAAATGACATGCTATCACGGCTTCCCAGGCTTGTCTACCAAATACCCATTGGAAACAATGCACACAAACACATCTCAACATTTGATTCTGACGTGTTGAATGTGTGCATGCTATTTCAAATGTACTGACAGTAAAGCTATTTCCCAATATTTTCATTGTTCCCTTATTCGTTTCCACCAGTACATAGCTATGATCGAACACCGGTTGAAAGTGTAAAATAAATACATGATGCCAATGGCGGTGTAAACATGATGGGTGAGTTCCAATGAAGTTGCATATACAGATGAGGGGAATCAGTGACTTCGTATGTACAAAACCGCTGGACTAACGGTAACCATGACAACAAAAAGCCAAGTCAGCAGAACATGCTAGAACTACAGAACACACATGCACCGTTACTCAAACGCAAACAAAATTCCCTGATTGTGACAGCTCAGCGCAGATGAATTTGGCAAATTATCACAAAGTATCATAGACCATTACATTTTGTATAAGCAGCAGAAAATATTGGCCACTTGACCTCTGCTCAGGTCACCATGCCGGTAGCTGAGGATCAGATAAAAACAGGCTTCATTCAAATTAATTTATGACTGTACTGACCAAAAGTGAACTGGTTAACTACCAAAAATATCTGACAATATTCACACTTTTTAACACAGGAAATCAAATCAATCAACAAATGTGACTGATTATGATGATCTTTGCGACCTGTGTTATGTTCTTTATCAATTATCAAAAGTAACTAGATAAAGGGTATTTTACACTGGGACCACATCTTTTTCTAAGAGAGGACATTAAAAATAAGCTGATCTCCCAAAAGGATCGGTAATTCGCCTACCCAGTTCTATTTGTTTGTTGTTGAATGCTGTACTCCGGAACATTCCAGCTATATGATGGAAGCCTTAACAACCAATTCTGGACCAAACAATCTCATGATTGATATTATGAGCACAATCCACAGGGTACCATTACACTCAAGTCAATAAATCTGATCCGAGCTTAGGTTGCTGAGGACCAAATGTAACCAGGAATCTCCACGGGTCTCACTACCAGGCAGGGTAGGGCCAAACCAATATATTTTTAAGAATGGTAGTGGGTATCCTTTGTCTGTGTGTTGATCTTTCAAACTTCTGCATATCTATTCCATGCATTTTCTAGGACTGACTGATTGTCATCCAAAATGTCCAGAAGATATTTTTCAGTGGTATGGCAGAATGACCTTTCACAATTTGCTAAAATCTTGAAAATGTCCTTATGCCATTTGTCTTTAACAAAATCACTACCATGAACCAAGAAAGGTCATTTAGATGTTTAAGACAATTCCAGAAACAAATAATCCTGTTGTTATCATGGAAACATGACAAGGGGAGGTAACTATGTCTATGACATGCTGAATATATTTCACCAATAGCTAGTATAAGCCATGCAGGGACAAAACAAACGGAGAAACACTGGGTCTACATAATTGAGTGAACTTAAAAACAACTGTCACAAGGCCTCGGAGGCAAAGACACTGAGACTGAGGAAGGATAAACCACGAGACAGACAAGGTGGCAAAAATATCAAACTGCATCCACAAAAATAAATACAATGCACTCTACATCTACGACATAAGTTAAAGTACAATCATATATACATAGACCTTGTACACCAGCTTCACATCCTCTGTCAACAGGGTATATAAAAACAATGATTTGACAATTTGATCATTTACATGTCAGTCATAACACATTTATTGCTGTACGTGCTGTTCAATTCTTTACAGAAACATTTTCATTATTATAGATAGAGATAATGTATACTGATGCAAAAATGAAAATGTTGAAATTTACAAACAGTCATCGAAGACTTGTTTTAGGAAAATATCCTTTGCTTGGGATGTCAGTCTGGGCAACATCCTGGCTGAAGACCCCTGGTCTTGTCATCAGTAAAATGACGCATACCAGTATACAAAGTAGGATATCAGGACAGTCAATGGCACTATGATGATCATTTTGCCTCGAGAAAATTTCAAACAAATGCCAAATCCTGCCAATATAGCAATGAAAGTCAGAAGGTTGGGGGCATTTTTATTTTTGTATGTCTTTTGCTTCTTGGCTTTCTTCTTATCCATGCTTGCGTGTGGAGGATGATTCGATTTGGGGATGTCTGAAAGAAAGGGGACGACATTAAATACCACTCATATTGGAAATGTGAACAAACAACCATTCTGCACGTGACAAGAAAGCCTGGGAAGGAAGACAAGGAACCATGTCGGAATGCCACGCTTGGTAGTCGGTTAAGAAAGAAACAAGGTCAGGCAGGTCCAAGGACAGAGTTAGGGTTCCAGGGGATGAAGAAGTCTTAACGAGAGCGAGCTAAGGCAGCAGTTTTAAGATCCATCTTCAGAAACTAGAAGCAGTCAGCACAGAATCTCCATAGAGTTGTTTGAAATGAATGTCCATCCAAGTGATGCAATGAACTGAAGAATCGAAAATGTCAAACTGTTTTTTTTAGAACAGAAAGATATTTCTTTCAGAACAGTTGTTATTGAAGGAGATAAGTTTCATACACCAAAAACCACACTGTGAAAAATACATTTGACCTCAACTAGTTATATTCTTGTTACACTGATTTTAGCAATATTCCATCAACATCACAGAGGGGATCTTGTAAGGCAAATCTTAGTCATGTTAGTAATCATTTGTGACACTTTTACACCAAGCTAATACACATTCTATGGACCTTATAAATAAACGTGTCTCATTCAAACAGGTAGGTTTGACTGGGTGAGCTCTTCTAGTATTACCAAGGTCAGCAATATTCCAGCCATACAAACACGGCATACAATCAAGCTTTTGCCAGACAGGCCAGTGTTTGATAGCATGAGCAAGTAGCTGAGTCAGCAACATAGAGGGATGAGGTCTATTGTGCCCTGGATTCCACTCATGGGGTAGGTAGGTTAATAGATTATGTATTAAAACTATTATAACTATGAAATATCAAAACAAAATAACTGGAATGGTTTTAATACAATCATTAGTTCAAACTAAACCTTGTGTCATTTACTAAATATCTACAGTTGACTCTACGAGAAATGTTGACTATTGTCATGCCAGTTAGTTACGAGGAATTGTGTATTAATATTGAAATATTTTGCTGTGGACGTTACATGTCATTGAGGTATATCAACCAAAGATTGTGTCAATTTAGCAGATTGTCTAGCTGTGACAAGTCAGTAAAATATGTAGGGGTCAGTGACCTTTGGAAAAGGAGTGAGTGAGTGAGTTGGGCTTGACGCCGTTTTTAACAGTATTCCAGTTATATTGTGGCGTGTCAGCTTAATGTGGGAGGAAAGCTCAAAGTGATATAGGTCTCAGACGTTTACCATTTCGGTGAAACCCACGAACACGGGTATGTTGCTGACAAACCTAGAAACATAACTGGGGCGAACCGGGATTCGAACCCACAATCATAGGTTTCTGGCATGCCCTAGGGACGCAGCTCTGCACAGCGCATCACGGCGCCTTAGACGACTGGGCTGGCCACATGGAAAAGGAGAAACTTGAGGACTGTGCTATGATCATGTAATCCACAACAACAGATTTCACTATGCAATTCCACCTACGTGAGACTCAGAACTCAATCAAGACGCGTAACTCTAAGAACTTGGAAATACCATGTCCTTCCTACAGAGACTACGATTCAAAAGGGAGACTGCTTGGAGTTCTCACAAGAAGCCTAACATGCTTATTAAACCCACATCATGTACAACACAGTGTTTTTATTGCAGATATATATATAACTGCTGAAACTGCTATTACATGTCTTCAATGACATGTTTGCTCAAAAAATACATTATGAACCATTACAAATTCTGGACAAGCAGACATAAACAATTTCAAAATATCAGATCAAGTCTGACTGTTAAAACATCATCAAATCTTCCCGTGTCATTAACATCTTATGAACTTTATGATATTACAACCTACTATCAACACAATATAGAGATAAAAGTATGGTAAAAGTATGGTCTAGATTCATCAAAACATTAGGGGTAACAGTGGTCTAAAACTCTGAAACAAGCCAACAGAGTTGAGTCCCTTAGCTATGCCAGGATCTGCTGGTCGTAGGTCTAGTCTAGATCTATAAGCCAAGATAATGTCAGTGCCTTATCCAAAATGGCTCACTTTTGGCGTTCCTCTCACACTAAGACAAAAAACATGCTCTAACTTATACTGTTCACTAAAATAAAACCCCAACTCACCCACTCAAAGCATTAAACTAACTTACAGCAAGGAGGTGTCATGACAACACTGATCTTATTCAGTGTTTGAAGCTTGTGATAAAAGTCAAAGTGTCAATGTCACACTCCTTATGTTAAAAAGTGAAACACAGTATTAAAGGGGTCAATACATTAAAATCAGGGATGGTAATTAGCACCAGCCTGCTGACGCAGGTGAGTCTTGTTAATGTTAGTGAAAGTTATCCTAAGGGACAGTACAATTTTGTAGGGTATTGCTATATGTTGGGCTAGTAGGCATTTTTGGTTAATTTCCATCCCTGGAATAGTGAAAATGCTAATGTTGGTTGGTTGGTTTGTTGTTTAACGCCGCACTTAGCAATATTCAAGCTATATGACGTCAGTCTGTAAATAATCAAGTCTGGACCAGACAATCAAGTGATTGACATCATGAGCATCAATCCTCGCAATTGGGATACGATGACATGCATCAACCAATTAAGTCAGTGAGTCTGACCATCCGATCCCGTTAGGCGCCTCTTACGACAAGCACAGTCGCCTTTTACAGCAAACATGTGTTGCTGAAGACCTATTTTACCCCGGATACTAAAAGGGTCAAATGCTAATGTAAAAAACCTCAACAATCCACAAACCCCTTCTTACAAAACTGCTACTCCAAGAATACCAGTACATCTGGTGGTTCATAGCTATAATGTCAGTGGGAAGCCATTAATGCATTTGTTCAAGGGAACCAAAAATAGAGGCCTATATATAAAACAAAGACATGTTGTAGGTCAAGGGTCATGGATTGCACAATTTTGGTTGAAGTGCATCAAATTATTATTTATTTATTTTTTTACCTTGGTGCACAGGTAAGTATTCAGAGCCCCGATCCACATATCAATTGTTGTGCCACAACATCCTTAAGCCTATGATAAACTACAGTTACGATAGGTTGTAACGCTATGCATGCTTTGTGGGTTAGGATCCAGAACCCCAGAAAAATGTGCTAGGTTCAACTCCTCGTCTTTTACAAATATATAAATATTCTCATCTGTAGATATAACTGAAAACTAAACTATGTTAGTAATTAGCCTAAATGAGGTCACAATCTCACATTCCATTCATCAAAAAATGAATCCAATTGATTTCCTAACTGTGCATCAACCATATCTGCAATACATGATTTAATATTTCCAAATCATCTGAAGTTCCTGTCGATGTTTGAATGTTGGGATTAATAAGCACTGCAAGTAACATGGGACAAAATATGATGGGATTTATCTAGGATTCCAAGCTAAGTGCCCTTGTCCTGCCACTTAGGGACAAATCATTCAGTGCAATAACATAAAACTGAGCATCAAACCTCTTCCTCTATATTGGTCCGTTATCAGTGAACTCCAAGTCACCTCTGCAAAACTGTAACATTCGTTATTTAACTATTTATAACTTATAGGGTTAGAAATAACTGAGTTCATAAAAATTGTTTGTGCACAGTGCAAATATCACTTCTTGTGCACTAGTGAATCGATTCTGTCATCCGGACGGCATTGTTAACATCATTTGAATCTTATTGTGACGTAAGGTCGGAATGACGTTATACTAGAACTGACGTCAAAGCTGAAGATTGTTGATGTGATTCGACAAATTGTGTTCTTCTTGGACAGGGTGGTGATCACTGCATTTTTCTAAAGGGGAACTCAAAGGGATTAAGAAATAATGGGTAATAAAGAAATTATTACACTCACTTGTGTGTCATAATGATTTATACTTGTGTAAGAGTTCATGTATTACCCTCGTTCTTGCTAGGAAAATACAAGAGTTCTGACACTCGTTTAAAAAAATCAGTATGAGACACATGAACATAATAATCGTATAATAATCTCTATACCTTATAACATGAATTGGGACATTATTAATTCAATTTTGGAATTTATGATATTATTTGAAGGACATTTCGGGCCAAATATCGGCATCTGAGCAGGCCTGGACAACTCCCTGTAAATCTGAATGTTGTTGCTTGCAACATTAACCTTTTCTTTGCATTTTATCACAGTGGATGACACTTAAAAAAAATTTATTATCAGTCTTCAAAACGCCTGCCTGGTATCCTGTGACAAGTCAGTTTCTGAACACAGGAGATACTTCTGACATAATCCTAGTCATTGGCTTTAGTTTGAAGCATTGCATCCTACCCTACATGTCCTGAAAGCTTTCACATCTCCATGCACTGTCAAGGCTATAAGTACACAGTTCCTTCCATTGCCGGTTAGACAGCTGCTGGACTGAACTTTCACCCAGTGACAAGCTATTAGTCCCTGTTGTATGGTTCTGTTGTTCTGACCATTGATTGGTTGGAGAATAATCAACCAGCTATGAGGAATTATGGATTATCTGTTCTGAGTGAATGAATGGTGTTCATTCCGAGCCTAGGGCGAGGGACCGACATCTGTAAACCTCAGTTCTGAGTAGGTTATTCTATATATTACTCTTTGATATTTTTAGAGAAAATGAAGAAAAAATGTATGACATGTCAACCCTACAGATGAACTTCACTTAAGGCAGACTATTGTTCAGATGATGTCATGGAAGCAATTTGTGACATCATGACCAATGGAGTGAGTGAGTGAGTGATTGTGGCTGTACACTGCTTTTAGCAATATTCCAGCAATATCACAGCAGGGGACACCAGAAATGGGCTTCACACATTGTGCCCATGTAGGGAATCTAACCCAGGTCTTCAGCGTGACGAGCGAACGCTTTAACCACTAGGCTACCCCACCGCCCCCATGACCAATGCATGATGGCGTCCTATCACATTTTTTTTCCACAATAAAGCGCTTTGATGTCATATGGCTTCGATTAACCGATCAGCATTGAGAATTGCTAAAATGCAGATGTGCAAATATCGGAAAGTTATTACACACTATCATTCTACCCTTATGAGTAATATTTCATTCTTATGACCAAAGCAAGAAACAATGTTTCATTGTTTGACAGATGTTCTATTGTCCGCTTTTATTTCTCTGATGTTGCCTTCAGAACTGTCATAACTCAATAGCATCATTATGATACACACAAGCAATAACTCCATTACAGAGCAATGCTAACTTTCAACATGAGCTACTGATGCCATACTGCACAACACCAGCTATTAGAAGGCTGTCATATTAGTAAACATTGTTAGTGTCACACTCACCTTTGGGCTTCTTGACACATCTCTCGTCGGAGTTCCTGTGGTAGCCCTCCCGACACTGACAGCTGAAGGTCCCCGGCTCGTTCACACACTCCTCCTTGATCCCAATACACCGGATGCCTTCCGCGGCACACTCATCCACATCTGGAACACAGGACCACATTCAGCCTAAGCATAGCCGCCACATTCAAGTTGTCAGTGTAACAGTGAGTGAGTGAGTATGGTTTTACGCCGCTTTGAGCAATATTCAAGCAATATCACGGAGGGGGACACCAGAAATGAGCTTCACACATTGTACCCATGTCGTGAATCGAAACCCGGGTCTTCGACATGACGTGCAAACGCTTTAACCACTAGGCTACCCCACCGCCCCGTCAGTGTAACAGTGCAGATACATTCAAGTTATCTACGGTGGAGCATAGGGGACACATTCAGGTTATCTACGGTCGAGCATAGGGGACACATTCAGGTTATCTACGGTGGAGCAAAGGGGACACATTCAGGTTATCTGCGGTGGAGCATTGGGGACACATTCAGGTTATCTGTGGAGCAAAGGGGACACATCCAGGTTATCTGTGGAGCACAGGGGACACATTCAGGTTATCTGTGGTGGGGCATAGGGGACACATTCAGGTTATCTGTGGTGGAGCACAGGGGACCCATTCAGGTTATCTGTGGAGCATAGGGGACACATTCAGGTTATCTGTGGAGCATAGGGGACACATTCAGGTTATCTGTGGTGGAGCATAGGGGACACATTCAGGTTATCTGTGGAGCATAGGGGACACATTCAGGTTATCTGTGGAGCATAGGGGACATATTCAGGTTATCTGTGGTGGAGCATAGGGGACACATTCAGGTTATCTGTGGAGCATAGGGGACACATCCAGGTTATCTGTGGAGCACAGGGGACACATTCAGGTTATCTGTGGTGGGGCATAGGGGACACATTCAGGTTATCTGTGGAGCATAGGGGACACATTCAGGTTATCTGTTGAGCATAGGGGACACATTCAGGTTATCTGTGGAGCATAGGGGACACATTCAGGTTATCTGTGGTGGGGCATAGGGGACACATTCAGGTTATCTGTGGAGCATAGGGGACACATTCAGGTTATCTGTGGTGGGGCATAGGGGACACATTCAGATTATCTGTGGAGCATAGGGGACACATTCAGGTTATCTGTGGAGCATAGGGGACACATTCAGGTTATCTGTGGTGGAGCATAGGGGACACATTCAGGTTATCTGTGGTGGAGCATAGGAGACACATTCAGGTTATCTGTGGTGGAGCATAGGGGACACATTCAGGTTATCTGTTGAGCATAGGGGACACATCCAGGTTATCTGTGGAGCATAGGGGACACATTCAGGTTATCTGTGGTGGAGCATAGGGGACACATTCAGGTTATCTGTGGAGCATAGGGGACACATTCAGGTTATCTGTGGAGCATAGGGGACATATTCAGGTTATCTGTGGTGGAGCATAGGGGACACATTCAGGTTATCTGTTGAGCATAGGGGACACATTCAGGTTATCTGTGGTGGGGCATAGGGGACACATTCAGGTTATCTGTGGAGCATAGGGGACACATTCAGGTTATCTGTTGAGCATAGGGGACACATTCAGGTTATCTGTGGAGCATAGGGGACACATTCAGGTTATCTGTGGTGGGGCATAGGGGACACATTCAGATTATCTGTTGTGGAGCATAGGGGACACATTCAGTTTATCTGTTGAGCATAGGGGACACATTCAGGTTATCTGTGGAGCATAGGGGACACATTCAGGTTATCTGTGGAGCATAGGGGACACATCCAGGTTATCTGTGGTGGAGCATAGGAGACACATTCAGGTTATCTGTGGTGGAGCATAGGGGACACATTCAGGTTATCTGTTGAGCATAGGGGACACATCCAGGTTATCTGTGGAGCATAGGGGACACATTCAGGTTATCTGTGGTGGAGCATAGGAGACACATTCAGGTTATCTGTGGTGGAGCATAGGGGACACATTCAGGTTATCTGTGGTGGGGCACAGGGGACACATTCAGTTATCTGTGGAACATAGGGGACACATTCAGGTTATCTGTTGTGGAGCACAGGGGACACATTCAGGTTATCTGTGGTGGAGCACAGGTGACACATTCAGGTTATCTGTGGTGGAGCACAGGTGACACATTCAGGTTATCTGTGGTGGAGCACAGGTGACACATTCAGGTTATCTGTGGTGGAGCACAGGTGACACATTCAGGTTATCTGTGGTGGAGCATAGGGGACCCATTCAGGTTATCTACGGTGGAGCACAGGGGACACATTCAGGTTATCTGTGGAGCACAGGGGACACATTCAGGTTATCTGTGGTGGAGCATAGGGGACACATTCAGGTTATCTGTGGTGGAGCATAGGGGACACATTCAGGTTATCTGTGGTGGAGCACAGGGGACCCATTCAGGTTATCTGTGGTGGAGCACAGGGGACACATTCAGGTTATCTGTGGTGGAGCACAGGGGACACATTCAGGTTATCTGTGGTGGAGCACAGGGGACACATTCAGGTTATCTGTGGTGGAGCACAGGGGACACATTCAGGTTATCTGTGGTGGAGCACAGGGGACACATTCAGGTTATCTGTGGTGGAGCACAGGGGACACATTCAGGTTATCTGTGGTGGAGCATAGGGGACCCATTCAGGTTATCTGTGGTGGAGCATAGCGGACACATTCAGGTTATCTGTGGTGGAGTATAGGGGACACATTCAGGTTCTCTGTGGAGCATAGGGGACACATTCAGGTTCTCTGTGGCGGAGCATAGGGGACACATTCAGGTTATCTGTGGCGGAGCATAGGGGACACATTCAGGTTATCTTTTTCGCGCTAATCTCAGTGGAATTATATCAGATATCGCGACAAAATATTGTCACAGCACTACACTGACAAGCAGTATGTCACAAGACTGCACCACCTACCCTTGCATTTGTTTCCCTCCTGAAAGAAGCCCTCGCTGCAGGCGTTACACTTGGCGTCCCCTGACCCCGTACAGCCCTCACACGATATGTCACACGCTGAAACAGACAAATACATCAACTACGGGTGCTCAGGCTAAAACAAGCTGGCTCATTCTTTTTCAGTCTCATTTTACTCAAAGGCAAATGTTATTGTGATGTGGATGTTTTTCACTTACAAACCTTTATGTGAACTTCTGGATTTGAACCAGGAAAATTGTTTATGAAAAAGCTTGTGCTCGTGGAACATTAACTAACCCAGAGGTAATTAACCCATGTCAACCAAGAGACCAGTGCACACTAATTATATTGCAGGTACGGTATTTTCTTGAGTATAGTGCGCACTTTTTTTTCGAAAAACACAGCTGTGTAGAAGGGGGTGCGCATTATACACGAATTATGAGTTTGGATGTTTTTTCCCCCCCATGGAAAGACATTACCGCGAGCACGAAACACCGGAAATACCATGTCAACAAATCCATACTGAAGTACGCAAAATAATCATGTAATTACACTGTCTGGCTATAAAAAGTGTTCTTTGTATATCTGGACTTATGTTTGTAACTTATTTCATTAATTTTATTCAAAATTCCTTATAATATTGTTTTTATTAATTTCGGCGAAATCGTGTGTGAAGCGATCGGAAGATCGCACAACTCACCGTTATTAACAGCAACCACGGTCAGAATACCGCTATTGACGCCTTGAAACGAACTTTAGTTGACAGAGAATGGATACATATATCATAAATGACATAATTTGACTCGTTAAAAGTCATATTTGTTTTTGTTTGACGATTCTATATCAACATGAAATTCTCGCGATCACGTGCGCGTGAGCCTTGACGTGACTGGTCAGACTGGTTCCATGTAAAAAAATAATACCCGGGAATAGCGATCAGCTGCTTCGCTTAGGGTGATTATTATTTTAAATATGTTTAGTAAAGGCTGCATATAATTAAGAAAATAATGGAATATATTATTCCTGATAAAAAAATTAGTTTCAGATATAATTGTTGCCGATCCTTGCATTAAAAATCCTATAAAGTTATATCATTGGGTGTGTCTTGACCGAATCACCGGTCGATTCCAAGAAAACGTGTGTACAGCTGATTGCTGTTTCCGGCTTAGTTTACGAGAAAATACACAAGGTAATCTTAATCCCTAGATATAAAACAATGCCTAGCAGAACAATAAATACTATTTAAACGGTAAATAAACATGTCTGGTGATTTTTTATCTCAAATTTCGAATTTGTACTGACGAAGTTTCTCAGCACCCTTTCGTTTGCAGGACTTCGCTAAAAAGGGTACGGTGTAAATTTTTTCTGCGCATAATATTCAAATTTCTTTTTTTCCAAAATATTGAACCCGCTAGAGGAGGGTGCGCATTATACATGGGTGCGCACTATACTCAAGAAAATACGGAAGAAAGTCCTATACATGCTTTGGTCGGAATCGGTACAAACACCACAGTTAGGCAGTTATTTAAAGCAGACAACAGCATGAACAGAAAAGAAATTAGATAGTTATTCAACTTAGATCTACTTTATTAAAAAAAACAAAAAAACTCACAGAACCTTAGTCCATCTTGTTGCATTGGAAACATTAAAAAATAAAAATTTCTAAAATTTCTAAATAGCAAAAGGCACCAGTCTAGCATGTACTTGACAGACCTGCAAAGTTTCATGAAAAAATATTGAACGGTTTCTGAGTTAGGCTCCGGAAACGAAACGAAACATGACGAACGGACGGATGTACAGAGCCTGTTTCTATTTCCCTCGCCAACTTTGTTGGGCGGGGGATAATAATAGAATGGGTCTCAGCCATTCAGAATATGACATTCATGTGTAAGTTTAGACAAGACTCCTTTGCAAAATCCAGGAGCTCCCTTCACATGGACTTCTGCTAATAACCACACCTTCAGACATTGTTCTTTTCATTGGATATAATTCCATCCACTGCAGTAAATTGTATTGATGGTCACAATAACTTTTGCCTTTGAGTAGAGCAACACAAAAGCATCACCTAGTGGAATAAGCTTGTTGAGAGAGACATGAATAAGCCCTTACTTGACCTAGTTGAAAGAAAGCAAGATTACTGGAATCTGTACTTTACTAAGAAAGTGTTATCCCAAATATAACATTTATCACATTAAGATACTTTGTTTGAATTACTTAGGGTCTATCTTATTTGACATGGAGTGAGTGAGTGAGTGAGTTGGGTTTAACGCCGCTTTTAACAGTATTACAGTTATATCACGGCATGTCAGCTTAATGAGGGAGGAAAGCCCCAAGTGATACAGGTCTCAGACGTTTATCACTTCGGTGAAACCCACGAGCACGGGTATGGTGCTGACAAACCTAGAAACATAATCGGGGCGAACGGGGATTCGAACCCACAATCATAGGTTTCTGGCGTGCCCAAGGGATGCAACTCTGCACAGCGAATCGCGGCGCCTTAGACGACTGGGCCACCCGTGCCCCCTTATTTGACATAGAACCTATTGATACTCTCTCTCTTCCAGTGCAGCCCCAATGTTGATGTAGAGAAACTTACACAGACACGAGTGAGATCCCTCAGTGTTGATACAATACTGATCCTCATCGCAAGGTTGCGTGTCGGTACTGCACTCATCCACATCTGCAATCACGAAGTTGGAGAAGTCAAAATCAGCATTACTTAATAATTATATTGGTACACTCGCACTGTAGATAGCACCAGATTCCACATGGAAGCAGCGTCAAGTCAACGGTCAATGGGTCAGTGTGTATTCATATTGCATTCTCAGCTCAATGGGCTTATGCAAGGAAAATGCATCCTCATCACATGCTTAAAGTGAATGTGAAGATGTAAAAACATTCCATTTAGCAGTACTTTTACTGACAATGATTATAGAATTTTATTAACTTTTAATGCTCATTCTATAGTGTGGCATTACATCGCCTATAAGTATTTCAATAATGATGCATATTATCTCATGGTGCATTTCCAATACCATCCTCTTATATCTCCAGGGCTAAAGCTGCATTAACTCCTGGATCCATTCCTCAGAATCCTGTGCTTCTTTCAATCCCCCCCTTACCGAACTAGGCTGGAATTTCATTACTCGATTGTATTGTAGCGCCACCGGTGTCTATTACGAGTTGTGTCCCTTCTATGTCCCTCCTATTGACCAATCAGACTCCACTTTTCATAACACTTGCATAAGCATGAACCTAGAGGGCAGCGCCCAGTCAAGACGGTCTGATCAAGTTGATCGAAGAAAAGTTTAACATTCCCTACATACGACACCCAGTGTGTATGTATTGTAGCACAATTCCAACCTAGTTCGGCAAGGGTGGAATCTGGACTTTTAGTCAGAAAAATCCCTTGCCTTGGGAAAATGTATAATCACATGATATCAAAACCTTCTGATTATCATATGTAGCCAATAGAGACAAGGGTGTTGAAACAGTATTATCAAATTTTCTTTTCAGTCAGTCCAAGACACAATCATGACAATCAATACCTTTACAGCCATGTTCCTCTGTGTGAAGCCAGCCTGACTTGCACTCATCACAGCCCTTGGGGCCATCTTCCCAGCAGGTACCCTTGCATGATATGTGACATGCTGCAAAGCAGAACATTGTGTTGTCATGGCGATGTAAGATAAAGTCAACATTACATGAAGTAAACTAAACTTGCAGCTTGGAAATACCAAAGTGTCCTTACTGTTGAGTGGTTTATGCCACAGACAGCAATATACCAGCTATCTCAGTTTGTGAATAATTTAGCCTCAACTAGGCAAACCATTGCCGGATGGCATAAACAGCAACTTACCCCATCAGGGGCCTCTAATCTTGGTCGACATGGTTGAATGCAAATGGGTTGACAAATTATTACCAAGAGAATATGTATAATACAAGGGACAATCAAGAGAATCAGAGCTGCAAGATTGTAGGTTACTCAGGTTTTTCCTACGTGGCAAAATGAGAGCTATAACAATTACATACATCTACAAACTATGTGTGTTTCATTTTTATGTTGTTCAAAATATCCATCCAAGCACTCGTCACACATGTCACCACGGTAACCAGCATGGCAACGGCATTCCCCTGATCCTCCTCTGGTTCCTTCACCCTGAAAACAGAAAGAAATATACTACTTGTTTACAACTAGCTATTTTCGTAATTATCCAACTGCTGCAGAATGGCTCACAATAAGAGAACATAACTGAACTCTACAATGATAGGTTGCTTAATTGCCAGGACAAATAAAAAAATGAACTAGGTTCTGTCTATAATATAGTAATCGCATGAGTCCAATAAATTGCTGAAGTCTATACACAGTAAACTACAGTTATAGTGAACTCAAAGGGACCACTAATTTTAGTTTGTTGTAACTGAAGTTCGTTATAAGCATATATACAGCAAATGTCCAAGGTTTTACGCAGAAACGGACAAAGAAAAAGAATTTACTGCAACCCATGGGACGGACAATAATATCCATTGTACCCAAAACGCAACAAAATCAGTTGTGGGCTTCTGGAGTCACAAAATGCACATACTGTCAGACACTGCTTTCTCGAACCTAACCGGAATTCGTTGAATTAACCTTGAGATATTTGGACGTTTGAGATAGCAAGCATGGACAGCCAGACTGATCAAGTAACAGTATCAGGTCCATATCAACAAGATTGAATACATGAGACATTAGGAACACAGCACGAGCGTGAAGGCTTGGGTCCTTCTCTAAATTGCTCATTATCACCTATCTCTGACTTGATGTTACGCCTGAGGTTAATTTTTATTTAGTCTGTTCACTTGGCAGAAACAACAAAGTGCCACTCTCATCTCACTCTCACTGCTTGGATATTTTGAGTATCGTATTGTGAGGATATGGTTTGATACCTTTTATCTGATTTTGATTAACCAGGAAGTGCAGCCATGTTTTTACTCATGTCTACTCATATTGTCTCAATTGTCAATAAAGATTACCATTTACCATTTGAATTAAAAGGTAAGTACATAATTTGTTGAACATTTGGTTCAAATTTAAATGGACTTTTACCAAGATGTTGGACAATGTTGTGAGGAAATGTACTAGATATATCCCGGAGAACTGCTCACCACTATGTGAAATACTTATTTGCGCTTCTCAAACTGTAAATGTGGCAAATGCCAATGTCGAGAAATCCTATAGTAAAATTATATAGTAAAGTCAAAACAGAAGCCGAGTCCAAGGTTCGAGATAGCTCTAAGAAGTTTTATCTCGAATTTGATAACAAAGGTCAAATTTATATATATTCATGTAGTGAGGCGGTCGAGGCTGGAGAAAAGGTTTGAGATATCGGTACATTCGAGATTACGGGGTCTGACTATATGTCTAATTACACACATTCACACACTAACTACAATATATTGATCTCCAAACGATATATTGATCGCTGCATTCCTTCACTAGACCCCCTGAACATACAGAGAATCAGCGTGATCTATGGCAGAGGGACTCACGTCACAGTTGCCAGTTCCTGTACAGGGTCGGTTGGGATCTCCCGGACACGGCTTACACTCAGGGCCAAACGTGTTCTCTGGACAGCATGCTGGAAAGTAACAATGTTTGACATTAAGCACACGGTTCTCAGGTCCTTGCCATAGATCTCATGTCAATAATCATAGATTATGGGGTCCATGAAATATAAATACTGACTAGTAAACTGCTCTAATTGTCAATATGTTCTGAGCAAATATGCATTGAGAACATCGTTTCAATACGAGCTTGCGTTGTACATTGAATGGATATTAGCAAAGAGTATGTTGATTAGCAGTTACAGTACATTCTTTTATTGAAAAAAAAGAATAAAAAAAGATCAGCTTTGACAAGACTTCAAAGTTGCATCCTTCCTCAATATGTAAGAATAAAATGAGCGATCATGAATACACATAATTTCTTTTATATTAACGATTGTTTGGTTGAAACCAACAGGCAAATCATTATCAGCAAACTCTCACCTTTGATACTATCAATGCAAAGCCATTGGTGGAAATCATAATTGTCCTTTTTAGCAAATTCTTTGAACCAGAAGGCTTCAATCCGATCTTCAAATTCTTCTAGCATTGAGTGACACTATACAGATGAAAATAAGACAATCATGCACTGACAACAAACATACATATCATGGCACATTGTTTGATATCTTAAATATTAAATTATGAAAACCAAAAATAACAGACAGTGACTTGTCATAAATCAGAATGATGTTTCCAAATGCTCAGAAGCATGGGTAAACTTTAGCAAGGAGGTCATCGCATGTGTTGGCGTAAGCTCTTTTCCTGTTCAATAACTGGCTATTCAACATAAGAATGGTGCATCATCGTCAGTGGGGGATTTGACCAATGTTCACACAACTTCTTGGAAACTTTGTAACACAGTACCGCCTCCGTGGTCTAGTGGTAGAGAGTCCGCCCGGAGAGCGGAAGGTCCGGGGTCATACCGCGTCAAACCAAAAGAGGTTAAAAGATGGTACTTGTTGTTACCCTGTCCGGTCTCGGCATTAATGGGCTAAAACAAGGACTGGTTGGCTCGGAGTCAGTATACTGTGTCTGAGTGGGGTATTCATGTTAAACTGCAGCATGGTATCTCAGTGAACTAGCACTATAAATCGGCATCAGTCCGGACTAGTACAAGCAGCCACACAAACACACACACACACACGTGCATGCACATCGCTATATAAGTGCAATAATCTTGGACGCGATGTTAAACCCCATTTCACCTCACCTTGTATCACAGTTCTTATTTGTTGCTTAACGCCGCACTCAGTTATAGGATTAAATAATGTAAATGTAAATAATCAAGTCTTGACCAGACAATCCAGTGATTGACATCATGAGCATCGATCCACACAATTGGGATACATGCATCAACCAAGTCAACGAGTCTGACCACCCGATCCCATTAGTCGCCCCTTACAACATGCATAGTTGCCTTTTACAGCAAGTATGGGTTGCTGAAGACCTATTCTACCCTGGATCTTCACAGGTCTTGTATCACAGTTTCATGGCTCAATTTGCACGTGTATTTTCCATGTGACAATCTATGTTATCTATGTTCACACTCTTGAGGTGTAATTGTAATGTATATATGGATAGTTTCAGTCTTCAAGTAACAAATTAATAATTAACAGATTAAAGTGAATATTTCACGAGTTGGAAAGGCGTTCAAATATCAAGTTTCTAATCAATAATTTTTGCATGTCAGTAAAAATTCCCAAACCTCTAGCATGTTTATAAAAACTAAGGTAAAAGTGTTATGAACATTAACACTACTGTTCACATAAAACATCACATGCCACAGTTGTGATTGTAGGTGTTTGTTCACACACTGCCACAAAATTACTTCTATCACACCATGAATTTTTTTTATAGTGCTAGCTCACTGAGATACCATGATGCAGTTTTAACATGAATACCCCACTCAGAAACTGTATACTGACACTGAGCCGATCAGTCCTTGTTTTAGCCCCTTCATGCTGAGCGCCAGACAGGGTAACAACAAGTACCATCTTTTAATGTCTTTTGAAATGATGCAGCCAGGGATCGAACCCCGGACCTTCCGCTCTCCGGGCTGACACTTTACCACAGAGACTTTGAAATACATGAGCACAAATATGGTGCTGACAAACCAAGAATCAATCAGGACAAATCTTATCCGGGATTGAACAAGGATGATAAGATTTTGGAATGTCTGAGTGCTGCAAACTTGGCAGATTGTGGAGTCCCAGATGACTGGCCACCAGTATATCTAACATGTAGTAATGTGTAGATTTAGTAATTGCAAGATCAGCATATTCTTTTTACAGTGTTAGAAAAGCTGTACTTTGTTTAATCTTTGTAAATTTGATTTCAAACATTAGACTCTTACCTCTTTTGCACCTCCCTTGCATAAATGATCCTCCATGATTTCCACAAGGCGCACCTCACTGTCATAAAAATACACATGTGACAACATACAGGATTTCAATATTTCAACTCAGTTTAAGTGTTGCTTTTGTTGTAAACACTCCTCATATATCTGCCCCAAAAAGACTACAGGTGTTGCCAAATGATGAATGCAGTGAGTGAATATTGCAATAAATGCGTCAGCAAGTTACTATTAATTAACCAGTTATAATCATGAAGTCTTTGTAATTGTATGGCATTTAGAAGTGCATACTGATACACATAAGGATGAGAATTTATAGACGTCAACTTCTTTTTATTGAGGAACACAGAGTTGATATCTATAAATTCTCTTCCTTAGTTATAATCATGACGACAGTATCACTTGCCGCTGGCAAATTGTTCCATAACATCACATCCTACCTCTTGGCATAACTTCCCAGAGATTTTTCTTCCCAATTTGTATTACCACCTCCATAATTTGATTTTGCAGTCTTTTTCAGTCCCTGAAAGAAAACAATGTCGCGTGAGATGATAAGTTTTGTGGGCAATGGGCACGGTTGAATTTACATTGGCATCTACCCTGTATAGAATGAATTGGGTAATGCTTTTCTGTATTGTAAAAAGACTTGTAAAGTATAAAAATGTTTTGACATCAATTTTAGAACTTGCATTGTTTAATCCTGTTCAGTGTCAAAAATACACAATTCTGCACAGTTGGTGGTGGACACAGATATTCTGCCAGACACTCCTGGACGTTATTTAGTAGGACCAGGATTCACCAATGTATCAATTCATGACACAAATTTACACTTGCCTGTGCTCATGGTATGCCCATCTATGTATCATTCATGCTTTAATTCTTTATTGATTCCTTCAAAAGTAATATTTGCAATAATAAGTTTTGCAATACTTTGTCTAGCATTATTTCACTGCCTATCAGGTAAGAAACAAATAATAATAATACATAGACTGATAGAGACTTAATTGAAACAGTCATGTGAGCATAAACAAACTGGTTGATTGCAACAAAATGTCTTAGACAATGTGAATGTTTTTATGATATAATGGTCACAATTAATTTCTAGAGTGAAACACATGACTGAATTGAGTCAGCGGACAAAATGGTGTTCAGGGACTTTAATCAATGGTCCAAAAATCCGACTTTAATTAGCCTGGACCATTATATCCGACATGGTCTCTGATTAAACCCAATTAGCATGCACTACTCACCTCCTCAAAACTGCTGACTAAACCTTTGCATGTGGAACAGTCAGGCGTCTTCTTCTGTTTAGCTTGGACAAGAACAGGCATCCCTAACAGTAATATGAACACAAACACAACAACCAAAGCATTCTTCACTGACACGCACCCGACTAAGCTTGTCTCCTTCCTTATGTCTCCATGCATTTTGGGGGAGTTAGTGCCTGTCGACTTGGGGGTGATTTTGAATAGATAATCAAAGAAACAACATGGAAAATATCACTGCTACGATTCCTGTTTAAAAAAATGCACAGTATTTGTTGTTCGACGAGGTCTTGTTTGCGTTACCCGAGACGATAATTCCAGAACCGAGCAAAACGTCCTTATCTGCGAACGGGCACCTGCTTCTAAGCGCTGTATCTAAACGGCTCGGAGCGTGGTAATGGAATATTATGAACTTATAATGATTACTACACGTTTGCCCGAGCCTCGAGAGCCTTTATCCACAGTCCAAATGCTCACGTAAGTATTAAGACACCCATTTGGTGACTGCAAACACAGCGAACCTACACATGTTGACTAGCAGCCGACATTCTCTTAATTTCATCCAATCAAAACTGGCCACGACATTCATTTCCCCTATAATGGTTAAACTAAAATTAGGACTTCTGGTTAGGAAAATGATCCAACTCGAACGACTTAATTAATTTCAAGCAAATGACACCTCATTAGGTAATATATAACGACATTTTAAATTAGCATGTAACTGTACGAGTAATCACATAAATGATTTTGACTGAAGATAAACGTCATATACCGAACAGACATAACAGGGATATGCCGATTTCGGTTTAAAATTCAGATGTCTGGAAATGTTTGATCTTTGAGAGATCGGCCAATCATTTCAACACACATACTTTTGTTTTACCGTAAATTATGGTTTACTCCATGTATCGATGCTGAAACGGTAAAATTACCGTTCTTTTTACCCCTCGTAATTTATTTGCAGGTTTTTTTTCCATGTGAATGTTTGTTTCAACGGCTCAACGCAGAGGCAAGTAGAGTTCCCCATTTAGGAACAACCAGAGAGGTATAATTTTTTTCAAAGTCTTTGAAAGGTATTCAGCAATTTAAGTAATACACGTAAGAGGGAGAATTTATTGCTGTCAACTTCTTTATCATGAGGAACACAACGTTTCGGAGTATATACTTACTCCTTCATCAAGTGAATAAATGCTATGAAGTAGATAACATATATGTATGTATGTATGTATGTATGTATGTATGTATGTATGTATGTATGTATGTACCTGTAAGAACAACAAAAGTAATAATATAAGTAGGTGGAAACTTCAGAAAGGTATTGATTGGAGTATACGATCCGATTTTAAAAAGGGAGTGAGTTTGGTTTTACGCCGCAATTTACTGCAGGGGACACCAGAAATAGGCTTCACATATTTTACCCATGACGAGAATCGAATCGTCGGCCCGACGAGCGAATGCTTTAACCACTAGGCTATCCCACTGCCTAATTTAATGAGAATGTATGTGTTTGCAATATGTGCAACAAGTCTCTGACGGGTCTAGAGTGTACATATTGTAAAATACATGCAGAAATTTGTGCCATAAGATTAAAGTTACAGTAACCATGATTATTTACGTTTAGTGAACTTATATCATATTGAATCATGATAACTGCTAAGAACAATGAGAATAAGAACTCCAATCCGTTTTTGTATATATTTAAAAAATAATTAAACGTAATACACAGTTAGAAACAGTTTGGTTTAACGCCACTTAAAATATGTTATTATTGAGGTTAGTAGAGGCGAAGTGAGGTAAAAATGGCGGTTAACGTCGTGTTCAAGATTATATTGCACTTATAGTTTTTTAGCGACGTACATGTATACGCATAGAGTTATCGTTCGTTGCAGTTATGAACATGTCAGACATTGCTTAGACATCATCAGCAAACATGAGAGAACACAAATAATTAATTAAAGATGTGCCAGTAATATACCCTGACCACTCTCTCTTTTCATATGGGTTTATAACTTGTTTATAAATATAGATATTCTATCACAAGCAGGTATATTATTTTATATTGATGTGATTATATCCAAAAATGTGCCCTTAATGCCACCTTCACACAGTGAATGTAGAACTTTCGAGCATCAAATGCCTTGAAAAAGTCAATGAAGGGACAGTAAAATCTTTCCCTTTTCTCACAATCTAAAGATTTCTGAACAATAGCCAAAAATGGAAACAAAATAAATGCTTGGTTGGTTGGTTTGTTGTTTAATTCCAGCTATATGACGGCCGTCTGTAAATAATCGAGTCTGGACCAGACAATCCAATGGATAATATCATGAGCATCGATATACGCAATTGGGAACGATGACATGCATCAACCAAGTCAGCGAGCCTGAAAGAATATATAAAAACAAATGTAAAAAAATAAAAAATAAGAAAATATATATATATAATATGCCAATAGTGGAGTAATGAGGCCTAAAGTCGGCTTGTTCAGTAATAATTTTTATGACTTTCACACAAAGTTTGTAGACGTCTGTTTAAAATGATAGTTGACGGCATGAGTCTTTGATAGAAGTACCGCTATAGTTGTATAGTTGTTAGGGTCAATTTAAAGAGACGCTTGTTAAAGATTTGAGTAAGAAATTGTACAGTTAGATGCCGAGAAGCTTTCAAAAGTTCAACAGCGACACCCTCTGGTCTTGGTGATGTGTTATTAACCCCTTTTACCATATTAATTAAAAGTTCGTCAGTGTAGTGTTTATGTACATTGCAACCTGACATGAAACCCCAGAGCAGAGTTAAATGCTCATTACACGAGTGGTAAACAATGAAGTAGGCATCCCCATGGTTTGATTTTGGCTTGTTGTTTAACGCCGCACTCAGCAATATTCCAGCTATATGACGGCGGTCTGTAAATGATCGAGTCTGGACCAGACAATCCAGTGATTGATATCATGAACATCGATCTACACAATTGGGATCGATGACATGCATCAACCAAGTCAGCGAGCCTGACCACCCTATCCCGTTAGGCTCCTTTTACGACAAGCATAGTCGCCTTTTACGGCAAGCATGGGTTGCTGAAGACGTATTCTACCCCGGAATCTTCACGGGTCGTATCCCCATGGCCACCAACTGTGCTCCCTCCCTTGCCGATCTCTTTTTTATGTATATGAATAGGAAGGAATTGCTACTGGAATTGTCAAAATCAAAACCCGGTAATTTGGTCAAGAAGTTTAACTAATGCTTGAGGAATATGATGATCTGATCTCGTTCAATAATGCTCAAAAGCCAATTTGCTTCCAGTGAATGTGCAGAACATTTGAGGCATCAATGAAACAATTGATGTCCAATGCAATTTTCTATTCTGACTTGTACATGTGCCATATGTTCCCGTGTTTTACGTTCAGGTGGACGCTTGACTTGACTTTGCGTGTATTTGTGACGGTGGCATCAGTGGGACAGGATACGCTCATCTTTTCGCAAATACCTGGTAGCATCACTACTTGATACTTAACACGGGTTTTAGTTGGAATCGTGCAAGGGACTTCCCTGATATTCTTTGACACAGTCGAATGTCTTGACTGAGGCATATACTCCGAAACGTTGTATTCCTCATAATAAAGAGGGGCGGTCGGGTAGCCCAGGGGTTAAAGCGTCCGCTCTTCACGCCGAAGACCCGGGTTCGATTCCCGACTTGGGTACAATGTGTGAAGCCCATTTCTGGTGTCCCCCGCCGTGATATTGCTGGAATATTTCATAAAGCGACGTAAAACCATACTCACTCACTCATAATAAAGAAGTTGACATCCATAAATACTCTCTCTCATTTCTCTTATGCAAGTTGAACTATCGTTTGCAATATTGAAAAGGGCACTGATCCAAAAACACATTCATTATAATGACATTCATCTTCATGTTTATTATGAATATATATATATATATATATATATATATATATATATATATATATATATATATATATATATATATATATATAAACGTTTTGATAACTTTAACGATAAGTTACCAACCACTTTTCAGCTGTGTGATTGTAGACGTGTGCGGGAGTTTGGGGTCCTGTGCTCACTAACTGTTAGGGATATAATTAAGATTATTTGCATATTCATGAAACCACCTCACTTATAATAACCAGCTGATATAAAGTAAGTGTACATGTACTAAGTACAAAAAATAAAGGAACTTATGATGTGAATGTAGCGATCGTTGAGGTATACATTTACAGATCCGTGGCGTTGCATCTAAACGCAATATCTAATCACAATGAAATTTCAAAGCATGCCATGTCAACACGTGATGCACGTGCACACGGAATACGAAATCTCGCGTTCTCGCGATCTCGCATGCTCGTGTTTGGGGCGTATTTCGTTTCCATAGGTCGAGATCGCGAGAATACTTGCCACATACTTGCCGCGAGAATGTCCCTTACAGTATTCCATAGAGCAAGAGATTTAACAAGCCTATCTTTCCACATTACGAATTTGATCTGGTCGACAGGGCACATCTTCCAAAATGTACAATATAATTGGGATGCTATGTTTCATAAATTATTCCTCAAATCTGAGAAAAGGCTACTGCCAGTTAGAAAATGTACTTCATCTTCGACAGCGTTATTATTATAAAGTATACAGGACTGGGAGTGGATGTTTCGGGCGAGTAAATATTCCTAGTAGTCGTCCAAGTTATAATGGCAGAGCACCGTGCAGCGCAGTTTACTCATGCGTTGAAATCTATGACAGAGTTGACACGTAGTTTTACAGTTCCTAAATTATGTATTGATTTGACAGTTATCATTCCTTAGACCAGTTAGCTATTCATAAGTATCTGACCAATGGAGATCCGGGGTAGAATAGGTCTTCAGCAACCCATACTTGCCATGAAAGGCGACTATGCTTGTCGTAAGAGGCGACTAACGGGATCGGGTGGTCAGGCTCGCTGATAAGGTTGATACATGTCATCGTATCCCAATTGCGTGGATCGATGCTCATGATGTCAACACTGGATTGTCTGGTCCAGACTCGATTATTTGCAGACGCCATACTGGTGGAATATTGCTGAGTGCGGCGTTAAACAACAACAAACAAAAATATTCCATAGCTGTGAATATGGCTGGAGCATAGGCAATTAAGACATCAATCAAGAACCCAAACTTGTTTTCTAGCTGTAACCAGTTGGGTATACCCCATGCCATGTAGTCGGCCAACGTGTCTTATTTCACTGTCATAAAAATAAACACTAGTGTGAAAATAAAAACCAGTAATTTCAAGGCCCTGGGATGACAGAACTTGTTTCATCCAGAGTTACCGCCCTTGAAAGTTGTCTACCTGGGTTCATGGTTCTACAAAACCAAATCAGCCTTCACTGCAGATTGAATCATCTCGCAGCTGTGATTGGATGATTTTGTGAAAGATTTTTATGTTTTTAACTGTACAATTCATCCAGCAATTAAAACTGACCATGTTTTTCTATATTTAGTACTGTCCTTTTCAACATGATGACTTATGCTGAATGTGACCACAGATATTTTCAAGCAAGTGACATTTGGTGCGGAACTGGGAGTGGTGTGTT